TTTCTAAACCAATGCATGTTGCTAAAAAATGCAAATCTAAATAACATAATTTACCAATGCCTTTCCCAAAGTCATGGAAGCAGGAGAGTATCTCTCGCCTGAGATCAACGAATCACTTTCCTGACCTTAGGAAAGAAGATAGGAAAGCCACAGTCCTTTCTCTTTCAGAAACCCCTCTGTGAGCAAGTCAGACCCTAAGACACTCTGGGCTACCCTGAGATTACCTTACTGTCCCTGGTGAGAGGACATAGGGAATCCCACAGCTGACATCCAATCTGTCAGGAAATCCTCTTGGCTCTTCCTTCAAAATACATCCAGCATCAGATCACTGATCGCCACCCCCTCTCCTCTGCCCTGGGTCAAGGAACTGTTGCCTCCTGTATATTTCATTAGCTCCCCAATGAGCCTCCTCGCTTCCCCACCATCCCCAACTGACCTCAGAACAGCAGCCAGAGAGACCCTGCTGAAACCTAAATCAGACCATGTTCCCCTGAAGGAAGCTTGTGTTGGCTCTTGCTCACTGGAATGTGCTCCCAGATAGTTACCTCCGTTTACCTTGCTCCTTCAGTTCTTTACTCAAATGCCACTTTCCACCTGGCTTGTCCTGCCCATCCTACCTAAGACTTATTGCTCTTCCATGAGCCTTCAGTGCTTTTTTGCATCTGTGAGCTGTTTTGGCCCACACTCCTACATGGCGGGTGTTTGATCTGTGCCCTGCTTCCTGATGGGAACACAGAGGATAGGCTTTGCTGGGGCAGGGATTTTTCTTTTTGTTGTTATTGTTCATTTTTTCAGAAGCCAAGAAAAGTAAGTGCATAGATTAATCTCAGACTGATGAATGTGTGAGACTGGTATGCATTTCCACTACTATGCCTTCCTACTATGTGCTGTTCCTATCAAAATCTTCCTCACTTCTGGTCAGGGCAGGCACTGGTCAAAGGTTTTCTTCTAGCTCTGTTTTCTTTCAACCTGTTAGTGATTTTTTTTTCTAAATTCTTCTTGACAACCTATCATGTAACACTCACGCATACTTGGCACCGAGTATATGGAAACCGCTAAATTCTGATATCATAACTGTTATTACTATCTGACTAGCAGCAAATTTCTTGAGGTCAGACATCCAGCTCGACATCCCCCACAATATCTCAAGTAAAGCCTATGTACAGTGCTACTTGAAATATTTTGACTAATGGAGCAACAAAAGACTGTAGACCCTTGATATTTTTCCTATAATTCTCAGTTTATTGTAAAGAATTAATTTGAGGGTAGGGATTAAACAATTTGACCTCAAGTGTCAAATTGAGGCGAAAGGGGTTAAAGTGCAGCTATCTGCAGCCACTACAGAATAAGTTCAATCCACAGCCAGGGAGATGACCCACATGGAGCCGCAGATTTCTCCTGTCTCACCTGATTTTCCTCTCAGCAATGAATTCCACCTATTCTGCTCCCTACTCTGTCTCTGGTGAATCCTTTTACCCCCTGCATCTCTGGTCTACACCCCAGCTCTTGTGTGCATAAATAAATAAGTCTTTTAAAATATGTACATATAGTCCTAATTTTAAAGAAAGCCATACGTTAAGTTCTTATAGTAAACTGGTTCCAGAATGAGATGCGAAAAGTTTTAGTTTTCTGACAAGAGTCTATTGTTTTGGCAATCAGTCAGAGGAACACTAGATATGATTGTTGTTTTCATTTTGCTCATTTTAAGGATAAATAATAACTAAATTATTACATAAAAATCTAAGAATAGAGTTTATGTAAAAGTAACAAAATGTCTAAATAACTTAGACTGTACTCCAGAGACATTCTACAAGGGGTGGAAAGGGAAACAGGATCAAAACCGGGGTAGGAAAAGTGCATGGGACTGTGGAGATTGTACATGGGGGAATTGGTGGTGGGAAGTCCATGAAAATTACAACCAAGATGAAAAATGCACAAAATGAAGAATGCTGTAAATAAATAAATATATTTAAAAAACAAAACAAAAAAAGTTTTTTTGCCATCAGCATTAAAAAAGAAAAACACTTTATTGTAATATCTAGAAGAACAGTTCCTGTCTTGCCTACCTTTGGCTAGGGAAAGGCAAAGATGTTGGACGATCTGAAACAAGCCAGCAGTGTGGATGCTGATACCAAGTATGTTGGTCACAAGTTAAGGCTTATACTAAACTCCCTAGTACATATTTTCAGACAAAATAAATAACCTTTAGAAAATTAGTATGTGACATTTGAGATTAACATTTTTTAACTATGTCTATAGGCAGCCAGTATACTCTTTATAGAAACCTGTTTCTTTTTTAACTAAAAAGCTTTAAAATACAGATTGGTAATGACTTATTTTGAATCTGAAATACTTTATCTAATTACCTGCCTGGCATAAGTTCAAGTCACAAAAATATCAACTGTTACATACATACCACGGTTTCTGTAGTTAGAAGGCATAGATAAGCTATCAGTACATTTACATGTACAAAACATCTTGAATTCTAAATCAAGTCAAAGAAAGAGAAAAGTAAAGTATTTCTTTCACCTATCTTGTTCTTATGCCACTCAGAAATTTGACACACTACAGTTTAAGAGTGGTCTTTTTATGTCCCATCTTGATTAAATGAATTTCTAAGGAAATTTTCCCTGAGACTACAAAAGCAAAACAAATAACCAAAACAAATAACCCTCCCTTCAAAAGCAGTCACAATAAAAAACAAAAACAAAAACAAAAACATCTTTAGACACTATTTCTCTTTGGCTTCCAATACTTTTTTGGGTTTTCACACTATAAACACACCCAGCATCACACCATAAATATTTAATGCAATTGTACTTCATGCCAGAGTACTTCATCTTCTTTACAAGTATGTCTGACCTCATATGCAAAAGCAAAGAAAGCAGGCAATACATAAAGCACACTACAAATAATAATTACTAGTAGATTAACAGGAAGGTAAACTACTCAAAGTGATTTTTACGATAACCAATTATCTACCAATGTTGAAAATTGAAAAGGTACTTAGAGATATTCTTTATAAAAATTTAAATGCTTTACGAACACTTCTGTTCTTTGTACTAGTGACCTAAAATTATTAGTACTTTAGTAAACTAGTAAAGTAAAAGTAGTAAAGTAAATAAAAAAGTAAAAGTAAAAGTAAGTAAAGTAAATGTTGACTGGAGGCAAGCAGCTATCTTCTGGATTTTGAAAGAATCTACCTTAAAGGGACCTCATAAACCTAATCTCAAATCAATTTATCACAAAGAAACTTAGTTTTCTTGTTTGTTTTATTTTTAAGTAGCATCAAGCACACAATTCAAAGTAATAGTAGCATTTCCCTTTAAAAAGTATATATTGGGTTGAACCATTGGAAATCAGTGATATTTAATTGCTTTGCCTATAAAATGGCAATTTCATATAATTCATCCTAGTATTTTCCTTTATGCAAATAATAACTGCACTCTTCAGTTTTATTACTCTGTTAAATGTTTTTATATAGAACGGAACTCTTGAAGTCACATATATGCTGCATTTCTAAGTTAGGGTCCTGTAACATAGAGGACCAGTTGACTTTAGCATTCTGGGTTACCACTGAAGGCCAGACCCCATGCTGTCACTTGCTGGCTGGCAATTAAGTCCACCTACATTGCACAATATCTGGCATATCAAGAATATGTAGATCCCTCCTGTTGTCAGTCTTTGCAAAGCTTAAAGGGCAGGAAAAGGGAGTCTCAAAGTATGGGCCACAGATTTTTGATCATCTATGCATCTTCTAAGCCACAAATACCCAAATGGAGTCTATAAGAAGGCAATACATCTCAAAACCACCTATATTTTGCTCCCTCTTGCTACAGGGGCAAAACCCCAACTCACTCAGATTTCTATGTTTCAACTGTATGTCTTATGAACATTTTATTGAAGTATATCGAACACCTATTTTAAGTCAAGGACTGTAGCAAGAAATAGATGTATAGGGTTTTTTTTAAAATGTCCTAAGTACTTTATTAATGCAGAAATGTGAGTAGGCCTATCTCATATCCAGGAACTTGTAGAGACAAGGAAACAGACCACCTAGAACATCTTGTCACCCATGAATCCTGGATATCCCTTTTGACAACCAGCTCTTTCTTGACAGCGGAATCCTTATAATTAAAATGTCTAATGAATGATGTAGGTGTCTCCTGTTTGCTAAAAAGAGCCTTTAATAATAATTAGAGTTCCTTTTGGTATAGGATACATTCAAGATGGACTAGCACTTTGCAAAATTCCTCTCTAATAACCACAATTCTTAAAATCAGTGGGGGAGTTTGTAAAGTCACAGTGTCAAGGTTTTTACTTGTTTTCTCTCTTCCCATGGATTAATAATTTGCCCAAAATATTAGCAATACTAATGCCATCACAAGTATCACCACCAGAAGCCACATCATTCCCATTTGTTCTTATGACTCCTATTACTGACAGTAGCATTGATCTGCTTTGAAAAAACAAAGACTCAATGTGAAAGGCTGAAACGCTCAATCTTTGAAGATTTTGGATACACTGTGTAAAAAGATATATGTATGTAACATAAACAAATTTGTACGTAAGGAAATTTCTAAGTATTAAAAATACTTCTTAATTTCTGAATAATTCATCTAGATTAAGAAAGGGTAATTTTTCTAATAGCTTCTAAGGAGAAGGCTGGATGTGTGTTTTCTGTTGTGAAAGGTAACTTACAAAGATGGAAATCTGTTCTGGGACAGCAAGTGAAATGCCACATGGGTGGCACCTTCATAGGAGATGAGATGGTGAGTGTGGATTAGAGGGAGCTCAAGGTTGGCCTGGTAGCTTTTCTGGAAGTGGTGCAGCTCCCCCGTGAGGCTATTTAGAAGTGCTGTAAAAATGACTTTTGTACTAGGCTTGTTTCCCACTAAAATGTTAGGCTATTTAGCCCACTTTTTATTTCTCTTTCATGTACTTTTAAGGAAAATGGTTTGTGGTAATTAAATACCACTTAAATGGCAAGGAAAACTTACCAATGTTGAATCAAAAGAAATGATGTCCACGACTGGGGGAGAGGAGGTCTGCAAATCAATCACTTCAAGTTTGGGGTTAATCTGTGCATACATATTTAAAAAGTTAATATTAGATTTGTATTAATTAGAAAAAAGGCTGATGTATAACCTAGAGGGCGCTTGCTAATACACTGATCTATTTAGTAACAAGGAAGTTAAAATATATTGATCTATTTATTAACAAGGAAGCAAAAACTAATTGAACAAAATTATCAGTATAAAAGATCATCGTGACAAAGCTAAATTTATCCCAGGGGAAAAAAAATTTGTTTTTACATTGTAAAATCAATGTGATTTACCTAAAACACTTTTTTTAAAAAATAAAAAGATCCTCCTCAGAAGATGCAGGAAAAATCCTAGCCAGTTCATTAAGGAAAGGGAATAAAGGTGTTAAGACCTAAGAACTGTAATAGAGGAAGTAAAATTTCTATTCACATATAATTACCTATGAAAAAAACCCAATGTACTGCTAAATCATTAGAACTAATAAGAGAATTTACTATATCCAAAAACAATACACAAAATCAATTGCATTTCTGCACTTCAGTAAACATTAAATGGAAATTTTAGCAAGACATCACCTCACTTACAATGCTATAAAAATTTTAAGTACATTAGAATAAATGTACAGATACATTATGGGGAAAAAAAGAATAAACTCATGTAAAGACACTGTGGAATACTTAAGTAGAAATGCACCATGAAGGAGTCATTAATAGAGTTCTACATGTATGTCACATGAACATAAATGACAACAGTACACACATCAACAGACAAAGATGATTTATTGTGAGAAAACTGGCTCACTGTATCAATTTCACGTACAAAAAGGAAAGCGGATAAACCAGAAACTAAATGCTATTTTAAGATTATAAAGTTATGATCTTTGTGATATGAGTATGAAAAGAACCTCTTAAATAAGAAATGCAAAAGCAAAATCTTTCAGCAAAAAAAAAAAGCATCTGATTATACCAAAATTAAAGATTTCTGTTTAACCAATGGTTACCAATAATCAGAAATCAGATCATGGAACAGGGGAAGTCATGATGTTTAAAATTGAGAGAGGACAGATATGTAAAATATATTAGAAAAATCGAAAACAAAGTAAAGGCACAGCAATTCCAAGAACAATATTATAAGAGAAAACTAAGCAGGTAACATGTGAAAAGATTTTCAGAGATTGTTAGAAAAGAGACAATTAATGCAAAATATCACTTAATATCAGTTTTGTGAGGCCTGGCAGAGAAAGGGAGATCAAGAATAAAGTAGAGTAACAGTGACACGAAGCTACAATAGTTTGGGTCTGTGGTGATAAGCGCTAAACCCATGGTAAGAGCAATGGAATGATTTTCCAAGTTCTTACCATGTTTGATGGATATAATTTAGAAATATTAACATAAATATTAAGATATATATAATTAATAGCTAACTGTGTAAGAGGAGGAGGAGGTAGATACGTCCCAAATACATGCCAAATAATCCTGTGTTACAGTGAAGAAAGGGATTAGAATTGTACCAGGTGAGGACAAAGCACTGTCTGCTTGGTTTGGCAACACCTTTGTTTCTGGTCATTCCAAGGAGCAGACTCTTCCTACCTCTGAGTGCAGAACTCAAGCAAAGATAAGAGACCAAAGGCTCTCTCATACTTTCCTTCAGTTTTAGGCTAGCTGTGCAGAGATTATTTGCAGATATTTTATTCTTGCTTGTCTGCTGCCACCTAGTGTACACATGAGATTATTTACCTAGGAAAAATACAATCCAGATTGATCACCTGAAATTGACTGGATCTCTAAATCACCCTCATAGAAAAACCCTTGTACTTCTACAAATTGGCCAACTCTTGATGTAACTAATAGTATCTTACTGCAATGTGGCATAAGTGTCTGCCACATCCATTAAAAGGGGCAGAAAATTCATACTAAGTAAAAGTTTTAGTCTTTTCCAAAATGCTGAGAGGGTCTACATGCCGAGTTAACTACTTTCGAGCTAACCTCTGTGAATGCAAACAGTGCCTTCCAGTTCCCCATCCTAATTTTTAATTTTTTTATTTCTATGTATTTTACCTTTTTTTTTTTCTTACAATGTTTACTTTCTTTTTTCAGGTGCAGACTCCTTAAAGGGAAAGCCACATTAGTAACTACAGTTGCCTGTATAAGAGGCTAAGTTCTCCATCACAGATCTGTGATGTGTAACTGAGGGATTTGGGCTTCGGAAAGAAGTTAGTCTACATCAACTCCCAGGTCCCATCCCACCCTGAGGTTCTGCGGATCCAACCTACTGAGGAGTCCAGAAGCACAAAAACTGCTCCTAATAAATACTGAGGAGAATATGCTCACTTCATTCACTGTTGCACAGTACAAGGCTGGGACAATGTTTAGCACATAATTGTTACCCATTAATAGGTTGAATTTAGTTTTAGTTATATTGAAGCACTATGTTGAAAGATTTGGAAGTACACACTGGAATCAGAGTGCCTGGGTTAACATTGTAGTGCTGTTGTTTTTAGTTAAGGTTCACCTCACATATGCCTCAGTTTCTCATAGGACTATAAAATGGTATTGTAGGGTCCTCCCTGGTTACGCAGTGGGTTAAAGCGCAGCACTAAGAAGCTAAAGCCACTTCAGCATGAGTTCAAACCCCCGCCCCAGAGTCATCTACAAGGTGTGGCAGACCTCTCCTGACCCGCCCACTGCTCCCCTCAGCACTGTACTTCCTCAGTCGGCCTGTTCTGCTCCCCACTCTGTCTCTGGTGAATCCTCTCACCACCCCTGCACCTCTGGCCTGTACTCCAGTTCTGTATGCATAAATAAGTAAATCTTTTTAAAAAATGGTATCTTTATAGAGTTTTAAGGAGAATTTAATAATTTAACATATATAAGGTAACTAGAATAATAACCTTCAATTGAGATATTACTATTATCATCATCATATAATCTTTGAATAACATGTAATAAGGGCCAAAACAAGAGACATTACCACTGCTAGAACTAGATTACAAAATTTGTGGAAAAGTGGTTATTTTCTTTTTGTAAATTATAATGCTTACTGCGATTGAGAAAAAAATACAAAATATTATTATGTAATTGTTTGCTTAGAGGAGTTTTCCTTTTTGCTAAATATCATACAAAATTTCTTATGCAATTGATAGAGGTGACCTCAAATGATCATCATAAAATTAAACAGAACAATTATTTTATTACTAAATTTGCTTTAATCCCATCCTACAGTATTCTGCACTTTTCCTGAATAACTATATTGTTATCAAGATCTATCACATCCTTAGAAGGGATGGTGATCTCTATTGTCTTCTATCAAAATATGAGATAGAGTAGAGAACTGTTCAGAAGAAAAGTGTTATGCACACACATTCTCTTCTAGGGGAAGGGTGGCTTTGTTTGGAGACAGGACAGTGCTATTTTCCTGGTGACAGTCTGAAGAAGATACCTCCCCCCTCCAAGGTCTGTGCTGAGGTCAGAGGGTCTGTCTCACACATCTAGTGTAAGGGGTCTTCATCCCGTCTTTCATTTATTCTAAAAGCAACCTTGCTATCATTCCACCCTTGTAAGAACTAGTAACTTATGTTGAATCAGCTGACAACATCTAAGATTCGGCAAGATACCCACTGTCAAACAATGAAGGTGGGCAAAAAGATAAGTGGCTTTGACCAAAAATTAATTTCAAGATTGAGATTATGCAATTCAAACAAGTCTCACAGAAAACACAATACAAATCATAGAAATGCTATATTACTTCAAACTCAGAAATGAAATGCTCATAGTTACTGCAAAAAGAGAACATTAAGGAAATTAGAGCATTTAGATGCTATTTATTCCACATCTCTTAGTAATAACTTTTTTTTTTGATCATGAATTCTGACCTTGGAAAATTTTTTTACAGTTTTCAAGTATTTCCAAACTAACAAATGTAAAGCTGACCTTGCCTAAAGCTTTGGGGGAAAATTAGATCATCTTAGCCCACCTAATTTAATATTTCAAAGTAAAATTTAATAATCACAAATGAGCAGAGACCAAATTCTACGTGTTATTTTTAAATGAGTAATCTTTTGGTTATAAGATAATGTAGATATGAATGTGAAGTTTAAAAAAAAATGAGTTTGGCATTTAACTATTTTTTTTTTGTAATATTAAAGCTGTTTGTTCTATGTCCAGAAAATTTTACAACCTTGGTTTATTATAAGAGGTTTTAAAGAAAAATGTCCATATGCAGAATCCTATCATTTCCCTGGCATTTGAAGGTGTTTTATAAATATGTCATATCTTGTATTTAATTGAAGCAGCCATGAATGCTTACAGATAATTTAAGCTGGGTAAGCAGAAGCTGAGTTTATTAAGGTCACAAACATATTTTAGTCACAATGCTCAACATCCTGTACAATGTAACCAAAATCTAATTTCATAGTGAAAGTCAGCTTTCATATATTTTTTTGTGTGCTGAATTTGGCTTTGAATGCTGGGGTCATCTTGACCTACCCATACAAAGCAACCCAGCTGGTTTTACTGCTTTCTGACTGCACTGTCAGAACAGAGCTACTCAGACAACTTGTTGACATTTTCAATAAAGTTCATTCTCCTTAAGTGTTCTGTGGTTGACAGCAAATAGCTTCAGTGTCCAACACTGAGGTAGGAGGGTATCATGGAAATATCAGAAATATCACCGAATTAGGAGGAAGGAAACTGGACTCAGACTCCACCGCTGTCACCCACCACTCTGGGCTGAGTAGACCCCTGGACAGAAGCAGTGCTGCTGCTGAAGGCCAGCCTGGCATGCTCGTAATGCTAGAACAGGTGTGAGGATAAAAACATCCAAGAGTAGGGCCCTCCCTGCTGGCACAGGGGGTTAAAGCACAGCATTGTGAAGCTGGCCGTGGCTGCTCCTGTCCGATCCCCACCCCAGCAGTGACCCACATGGTGTGGCAGACCTCTCTTGACCTGCCCACTTGCTCCCCTCAGCAGTGTCCTTTGTCAGTTGGCCTGATCTGCTCCCCACTCTGTCTCTGGTGAATCCTCTCACCAACCCTGCACCTCTAGCCTGTACCCCAGTTCTGAATACATAAATAAATAAATCATAAAAAAAATCAAGCAAAGGAAACTCGAATTCAAATTAAATTAAAATATACTTCATATACACATATATATTATGTGAATACTTGCAATCACAGGGTATCAACAAATACCTATAATTATAAAAATGGAAGCAAAAAATATGATGAACCAAACAAATTACATGGCATTATTTCAAAGGAGTGAAAGAAGAAAACAATGATATAGTAAGTAGCCTAAGAAGGAATAAAGGACAACAGTAAATTGTTTATTTAGAACTGGAAAGAGAGTTGGAAGTTGGAAAGCTAGGACAAAAGTCTTAGCTATGGTTTGATTAAACAAAATTATAAAATTAGTAAAACTTAAGTTTTAAAAACTTAAAAACATGCTCTCTCTCACATACGCACACACACATATACATCTTGCAAGTAACAGAAATGCAAGAGGTAACAGAAAATTCCAAGAGTAAGGAAGCCAAAATGAAAAAACAAATGGTTGTGTGGTGGACGTAGGAACTTGGGCAGGGGGGTGGAGCCACAGCGTGGACAGTGTGTTAAGACTTACTTACGCACAGACACTCACTTCAACTGTATCCATCTTTCCCTCATGGAAATGTGGTGTCCTTGGGTAGATATCGTGGAGATGTGGTGGTGAATCAAAATGTAATCTTTTGAGATTTCTTTTAATAATATCCTTAGAGTTCAATTCGTCAAAGTTAGTCTTCCATAATAAGACCTATAAAAATTAACCATGATAACAGTCATTGACTGGCATGTCCAAACAATAGAACTGATATTTTAAAAACCAGATCTATAGAATTGTCCCTCACTTTAGCCAAGAAGCCTAGACATGTATGTCCACAACATTACTTCTCAGTAGTAATGTAACCTTTTTCAAGGATGAAGGGAGAAACTAATGATTTCAAATTGTGTTCATGTCTAGTTTAAAATATAATAATATAATTCAAGAAAATAAATTATTACTTTAAAATCCTTTTTTTAGAAAGCCCCGCAAACATATTAATAAAACTTAAGTTTTAAAAACTTGTCTTGATCATCCATCTTATTCAATATATCTGGTTATGAATGACACTTGTTATGAATAACATTTGTTACTTCAAATCAATGCAGATTACTATACAAGCAATTCATTTACCATACTGGAGAAGTTTAATGTTAAAAAAACAGGCTATACAGATAGAAGATTAGACAAAAGAAAGTGCCATAGGAATGTTGGGTACTGAGTGCAGTTACATGTAACTGTACAGTCAAGTGTAAAGATCAGCAAAGTAAAATAACTGCTATTTATATTCCCAAAATGATGTGACATGGTACTACTTCAGCTCTGAGGTAACAGACCTACTGGCATTGGATTAAAGCAACTCACACATAAACATCTCTCATACACACACGGTTACCTGTAGAAATCTTAGCTGAGGTCTTGATTAACCAAATCAAAGAGGAAGCTGAATGATTTACAAACCTGTGCATCAGCACCTCCTGATGAAAAGAAATCTCCCCCTTTTGAAAATGAAACAGTGAAGACGGGGCCCTAGAAATAAAAGACAGAGATACAGATAAAAGAAAGAGGTATTTGGTGATACTTTCTCATGGCCAAGAGGACTATGAGTATTTGTTAAATTCATTCAATTAGTATTCCTAATTTATTAGACTGGGGAAGCAATATATCTGCTAGCATAGAGCCAGCTGCTATCAGCTAGCACTCAAGGTACTCAAATAATCAATCTAGTTATATTAAAAATATATATACATGATACTAAATGATAAAGAAGTATGAATAAAAAGAATAAAGTATACTATTTCCCTTAAAGAATAGCTTGTACATGTATGATGATGAGGATCTTTGTTAAGATATTTTTGGGTTGTGGTTTCTTTATTGAACAACTCATGGGTTAAAACCCACTGAAGCCTTGCAGGTTATGGGAATAAAGCTAACCAAGGCCATTTCTTGACTACACCAGCTTCATTGAGTATTCCCTGTAGGCAGCAAAGAGCCACTAAAAGGTTTAAGAGCAGAACAGAGGAGAGCTATGATGGATGAAAATTGATATTATCATTGTGACAATGATGAATTAGAGTAAGAATAAGTGATTGGAAGCCAGTGAGGAAGTTACTGTGATGATCTGAGTGAAAGGTAAAGACAACTTGAAATTGCGCAATGGTGGTGACATTGGCTCAAGGACAGTTGACTACCCCAGTGCAGTTCCAAGAGGCATAGTCTTAAGGACAACTTTCCAGGCCAGACAAGAGTTACTATTTGTCATCTCAAAATATTAGGACTTGAGCCTTAAGGGTTAAGTTTTAGCACTACTACCTTGATGGCCTTCTCATGGCAAAGTGCCATCCCCTGCCAAATGGCATTAGCAGACCTCTCCTGCCTTACCCACTGCTCCCTGCAGCAGTGTATTTCACTAGATCATCCTTTTCTGCTCCCTACTCTGTCTCTGGTGAATTTTTTTGTTTTTGCAGTATTAAAGGAGAACATCCTGCTGACTGAGGTTATTGTAACTTCATAAACACCATCACGTTCAGACTGAAGCACTCCAATCTTAGTGTATAGAAAAGATAAAATATTAATATAAAGTATATTATGAGACATTATGTTTTATCTTTTCTATTATTCTGTACTTCTTCCATGGATTTTTTTAATCCTTAGTCACTGATACTGGTTATTTATTCAACCTAACTCCATGGATACATGCATATATGAGTGGGTTAGTATCTATTTCTGCTTTATTCTAACACAACTGCAAAATAAATGATGAAGCAAAACAGGAAGCCAGGCAGGATATATGAAGGGCAGAGAGATCCCCTTCTTCTCTAGGCCATAAAACTCATTCTATTTCTGGCTATAACTAGATAATACTTGATTAAAAGTAAAACATCATTTTTTTAAGAGGGCACATTTAAAAAGCTAAGAAAAATTTAAATATTTACCCAGAAATGAGGAATAGCTTATACACTTAAAAAAGCTTTTCATGTGCAAACAGGTAACCTGATCAAAATTACTTTGTTAGACTTCAATAAATATTTATTGAATTGAACAATCATCTCTTAAGTACACATAATTTGTGACCACTGAACTTGCAAAGTAGTATATAAGAATAAAAATAATAAGTATTATTTTTAAAAGTTTTTTTTTCTTTAACACATTATACATATGTATGTATAATTACTGTATATATGTATGTTGCTGTGTTGTGCATATGTCTTTGAGTAAGCTCAATAAATAATCCCCCTCTTCCACACAGGGCTATAAGCCAAACTGAGTAATAAGACAAAAGAATATAGTATTTAGGCTTTCTTTCTTACTGAGAAAGCGCATAAGAAGAAAGTGTGGCTTTCTTTGTGGGCAAATAAACTGTTTAGAATTGAATTTGAGAATGAGTTAGATTTGACGACCTAGTCACAGGCAAGACTGGACAAGGCCTCCCACGAGAAATATTCTCCCAGGAGAGAGGAACAATGAGGACAGACTCACTTCCCAAAGCAGAGGCCATTGGGCTCTACTGGGCAAATACCTCCTTTAAATTCAGCAAATTAGTGAATGGAGTAAGAGTGGAGGGGGTGTGAGAGACTAAGAGTGTTAGAGCTAGTGAGTGAGGAAGCAGCCACGGAAGAAGAGAGTCATGAGGGTTAAAATTTACTCATCATCATTTAACCGGTCAAACCTACACAATGTTGATTGAGACAGCAGTGGAGGATTAATTTAATGGCCATTGAAAGATATGCACTGATTTTAACAAGAATGACAATAAATGAGAGTTGTTTCGGGAGGATAAAAACATAGCTTTAGTAGCAAAAACATTTTTTGAAAGCAGTAATGTGTGTTTTACTTGGGAAAACAATGAAAATGCATAAGAAAAGGCATTAACACAATAAAATATATGCTATTTAAAAAGTGAAAACATTAGTGTAAATACCGTGTGTCCTTGAAGTGTATATATGAGCCTTCCTTCTAAAAGATCCAGAATCTTAAGAGTACCATCTGAAGAAGCAGTGATGAGATAGTTACCAGAAGGATGGAATGATACACAATTGACTCCACTGCTGTGAACTGATTTGTAGAAAATAAAAGCAAAAAAAGTTCAGAAGACAATTCTTAATTCTAAACATTGCCCCATTTTCCCTACTAGCTATATTAGGTTGAAAACAAGAATCCACTTGAGACAACATCTCTACAGCACCAAAATTCCATGTAGCTCACTAACATTAGTAGTTTGAAATCATACAGATTAACTTTCAGCTACTGGAACAGAGTAGCTTTAAAAATGAGAGTATGTCAAGGAACGGTAGCCTTGTTAGCCACAAAACTATAAATCTTCAGACATATCACTAATATAACAATCACTACCAGCTCACGAGAGATATACACAACCTAGCTTTAAATTAAACTTAATAACCAGGTAGTGGCTTGGTACCAAGAGGTGAAATGTGGAGATTTATCTGGAGACACAGTGTTGCCAGATTGTTCTGAGAATTAAAATTTCTGGACACCATCCTTCCAATAGGAGGCAGTATAGCACAACAAAGATTATTCTTTGATGTACTTTGTAAACAGAAAGCCCCAACCAAGTCAGTTCTAACAATTATTTTACCTTTTTAAATTTCCCAATCATTAAATCAAGGGTTAAGGCTGCTATGAGAATGTAGTACATTATCTTCTGCATGGTAAATGTTAAGAAAGGGATTTAATATAAAACCGGTGTGAACCAAAGAGATCAACCCTCTTATTTTAACTTCAATACTAAGCACAGTAGGCTACTACCAGTTATCAGACCTATCTGTGCTCACATAACTCCGGGCCAGATTCTTTCCCTGACTTCTCACATAATGGAGATCAGCAACCATGACATCATTTTTAAGGTCCTTCCACCTCCCCCTGTATTCTGGCATCTCCCCCAGCTTCTAGACAAGGTGCTACTGGGAAAGGGTGGCCAAATGCTCTCTAGTCGGTTCCAAGGCAGGGAGGGAGGCGTGACAATGACAGTCCACGACTGTCAGAGAGACCAATCACAGTGACAAGGACAGTCTGTCAGTTTAAGAGATTCCTGGAGGAGCAGATTCAACAACTCATCTTTTGTTGTTGTTACAGAAAGTGTTACCTTGGTAATGCTGGAGTAATTTGTTCAATCTTATATCCCAGATTTTCACAGTATGATCAGAACCTGCTGACGCTATGCATGTACCATTGGGGTTAAAATCCACAAAATTTGCAAACCTAAGAGGAAAGAGTAAGACAGTCTAATATTTAGATACCTTCACTCCACTTCATTATTTGAAGTATAGTAACTATCTCCTTAGCACACCAACCCATATAAATGCGCAAAGAAAAAAGCTTACCCTACAGAATCTGAGAAGTTATTAACACACTGTTTATTTGTGGTATCCCAAATTTTAATAGTTTTATCCTCACTGCAAGATACAATTAGTCTTCCATCAGGTGAAAATCTGAAAAGAACAAGAAAGAAGATTGGTTTTGTGAGCGACTTTTGACAATACTGCCAGAGTGCGCAAGTCAGCCTGAACCTACTAAATTCCACTGACTACCAATACCACTCCATGCAACAAAACCACACTCTACAGACATCCTCTTTCCAAATAAAAATAAGCATGACACAGACCGACTGATGAAAGATCAAACAAAATATACTATGTGGACTACCCAAATTTCTTTATTCCTTTTATTTAAATAACTAGTTTCACAGCATATGTCCTAGGTCTTTGATTCAAATCTGCATTCTTTCTGAATCTAGTATGTTGTATTTTTGTAACATACTCTTTACTTTTTCTTTTATATATATATATATATATATATATATATATATGCCATTTTTTAGTGTTATCTGTATGAACCTTATTACTCTCCTACCAACCCTGTCATGAAACTTTTTTAAGAAAAGATCTGATGCATTTAGGATTAAAATAAAACAATATCATTTAAAAAATAAACAAACCCAAACCAAAAGACCAGTGCCCCAGGCCTACACCTTCCTGGACTTAAAAAGATCTGCAAGCTCCAATGGACAGAACATGGGACAAGTCATTAAAGAGAACTGAAGTCCCTGCGCAGATACGCCTACCATCCATATTTCCCTTTAAAAGCAGGTAAGAACATTCTCACACATCTTGTCTACTGCTTTTCTGTTATTTCTTCCTTGAAGATCCTTTCTCCCCACCCACAAAGTGTCTTCTTAGAATTGATAACGGAGTAGGAGATCAAGAACAAAGCAAAGATTTTCAAACTCTGGAACCTATGAATTATTTTTGTTATTAAAATGTTATCAACAACAAAACCCAAAAAAAAGCAGATTTGGTCACAGATTGATTATATCTCAACTTTATTTGTAGTTTACCTCTACAAACCAATTACTACAGTAAGGGTGTGAATTATAAATTGGAGGGGTTTTTTCTTCTTCTTCAGTTCTTACCAGTTCCCTTCCTGTTATTAAGGTTGACTTAAAAATAATTATTTCTGGGCCCTCCCTGGTGGCACAGCGGGTTAAAGCACAGCACTAAGAAACTAAAGCCCCTTCAGCATGAGTTCGATCCCGCCTGCCCCGGAGGAGATCCACATGGCCTGGCAGACCTCTCCTGACCTGCCCGCTGCTCTCTTCAGCAGTGTATTTCGTAGATCTGCCTGTTCTGCTCCCCACTCTGTCTCTGGTGAAGCCTCTCACCGCCCCTGAGCCTCTGGCCTATACCCCAGTTCTGTATGAATAAATA